AAAAATACCGGACATCTAGCAACCTTAAACACACTCAACAACTGGCCCCAGCCCCCCCACCCTTCCAGAACCTCTGGGCGTCCCTCCAAGCCCTCTGGATCCCCTGCTTTCCTGGTTCTGCAAGGAAGCTGTCTTCTGACTCCATCAGAAAAACAAGATGGCCGCTAGCAAAAAGCTTCAGGCTTTTCTTAAAGGGGTCATGCCATTTTATTTTGCTTAACTCTCGGGGTCCTTTTTTTTTTTTTTTCTCTTTTTTCTCAACAACTTTGGTCTCCCCCCCCCTTTTTTTCCCCTGTTTTTTTTTGGGGGGGGGGCAGGTATTCGGTATTTTTAGTTAAACCATATTGCAACCCTAGCTATAGGAGATCCATCTGGGTCCATCCTGAGCCAGGTATCTTCAGAAAAAATCATCAGTCTAGCTTTATAGGCATGAACTTCATTCTCAGAGCCCAGCGAGGCAAAGGACTACATAGAACTCTATGTAGTATTATTCAACTTGTGCCCCTAGGCCTGACAGCAGCTGACAGTTCAGGGAGGAGGAATTTTTAGAGATGTGATTTTATAATCTTCAGCATCACACTAATGGAATATTTTAAAGCAAATTTTCAACTAAGGTCACAGTAAATTCAGAAACTGATAGTCTATACCTGGGGTTGGCAGGTGCCTGTTAAACGGCTTCATTACTACCTGAATGTCTCTTTCACAGGTTCGATGTTCTGCTAATGGATCTGGCTAGCTTTTTTCACTTTTAAGTTAACTACATCCTCTCTGGAGGAAGTAGAGCCACATAGGAAGAGGTGGTCGAGTGGACATTAAGACCCAGCGGTGCCCCAAATTTCCAGGTGCCCTAAGCAGCTGTGTATTCTGCGTATAGGCTAGGACGGCCATGAGGGTAAGCTGCCTTCTCCCGTCTTAAGGTTCTGCCTGCAGCTCTGACTATTAGAAATAAAATCCCCCATTGTCCTGGGCATGGAGTAAAAGTGAGCATGAGCTGTGCCAAGTGGGAGCACTACCATATCATTTTTACAGAGTCGCTTTTCAAACGGAGGCTGCATTTTACAGACTGTCAAGCCCAAATAGCTCACAGAACTGATGTGGGGTGGGAATAGCGCATACACCCTTGGTGACTTAGCGGTTGTCGCTCTATAGAAGACTGTTTTAATACGCTCCTCCCCCTCCTTTTCCCCAAAAGAACCCACCCCGTCGGCTTGTTTCTTTCCTCTCATAGACACAATATTCCCACCCCCTCACCTCCTTGCTTTATCTTCTTTTCTTTCCTTTCCTTTTCTTTTGTTCTTTGAGAAATAATTTTGGGGGGAAGGGAGAAAAAAGGAATCAGTTTTCTCTTTGGGGGATTAAGGCCCTTCGCATTCAAGCATCAAGCGCTGTAAACAGTGGCTTTTCTTCTGGTGCAGCTTGGAAAGACATGGGTCTCTGTTCTCCCTGAAAAGCCCTCGCACTGAATGATCCACGGGCCCTGAATGAAGTGCCTCAATTAAAAGTTTCCCATTGATGCCGGCTGAATGAGACCTTGCTGTGGAATTCACCCCGGTTGAATGGCCCGGGACTTCATGAAATATTAAGGAGCCAATAGATTTCCCACAATATTTGTACACCTTCCTTTGTGCGGATTTTTCCCTCCATTGAACCAGAAACCGTTAACACATCCGCTCCCGATGTGCCCCGTTCTGCTGCTCATTAGAGGCCTTGGTGGGGAAGGTTGGCCTGCCAGTGTCACCCGCACCCCCCCCTCCTGTCCAGGGGCAGCCTGCTGGGGGCTCCTGGGCACAGGCTGAGGGGGCGGAGAGGGGATTACATGAGTGATAAAGACCAGCTGCTTACATTCATTCTCTGGAGAGGTCAAGCTTAATTACAAACCCTAAGAATAAAGGCAGGGCTGGAGAGAGACAGAGAAACTGATAGGAGAGAAGTGCAAGCCCCAGAGATTATGCCCACTCCTGCCTCAGCCCAGAACTGTCCACCAAGGAATTCTCCAGGTGCCTGGCCCTGAGCAGCTCAGGTGTTTTATCAGATGATAAGTACCTGATGCACTGGATTTTTACTCCGTCCCTATGCTGGGATTTTACCTACCCTACCCAAGGAAGACATTTTAGTGACATCACCTCAACATGCTCTTCTTTGATCGTCCCAGAAAGGAACCAGGAAAAGGTAGGGGGAGAGAGCCCCACCTTGTGTGCCCCCCTCCCCTCAATCCTGTATTCAACACAACAGGGAAGCGTCTGTAAGTCCGGGGCTCTCTTCCTCCTGGACAAAGGGCCTTGAGTATTTTAACAGCATCCATGGCCCAGTTGACAGCTCCAATTGTTAACTGGGCTGCCCCGGCAAGACTGCCCCCGCCCCCCATTAATGATGTTAATTAGAGCCCTGCAGTGCAGCCTATCAGGGGTCTCCGTGCGAACTGGGAGTGGGATGAGAGATGGGGGCAAGGCTCCTTTTCTGAATAATTCACTCTTATTTAATCTCATTAAGGGGGAAAAAAGAGGTTGCCCCAGGAAAGAAAGCCAGCTGTGTGTGGGAATGGATTCCAAGGGCTAAGTAAAAAATGCCTAATTCTTATATAGCACTTGGCATCCATAGAACTCAAGGTCAAACAAAAGAGGGCCATATTTTACAGGTGGGGAAACTGAGGCACGGAGCAGCAAAGTAGCGTGCGCAAGGTCATCCAGCAGGCTAGTGAAAGAGCTAGGACTAGAACACACCTCCTCTAAGTCCTGTATCTCCTGCTTAATCTATTAGGCCTCACCCATCAAAAAAAGCAAATGCATTGGGAATTAAAGTAAGCAGGTTTGGACGGAGTACCTAGTCCCTGATGTCACTGACGTCCAGGTGCAGAGTTTTGGTTTGAGCCTATTTCGAGACCACATCTCTTCCTTTCTTTCCTCCCAGTGTGGCAATATCTTCTGGCCTGGCTCGTCACCTCTGCAGGATGGGATTGACTATGAGTGCTATAAATTCATGGGTCTCCTCTAAGACATGAGCCCTCATCACAAAACCAAACATAGGCTCATGGTGGCTGCTTGGAAAAGGCCCAGAACCGGTTTTACACCCATGGCTCCAGAGGGGGATGTGAGCAGTCCCAGGGTGCCATGACAATCAGGGGGGAAGAGGAGTTAACACAGCACCTACCCAGTCATAGCGCTATCAGTACTATGGCTATGTCTAGACTGCAGGCTTCTTTCGAAAGAGGCTCTTTCGAAAGCATCTTTCGAAAGAGCCTCTTTCGAAAGATCGCGTCTAGACTGCAGGCGGATCTTTCGAAAGAGAAATCCACTTTTTCGAAAGAGAGCACCCAGCGAGTCTGGATGCTCTCTTTCGAAGACGGCCTCTTTACATTGAAGAACGCCTTCCTTCGAAAGAGGAACTTTCGAAGGAAGGCGTTCTTCCTCGTGAAACAAGGTTTACCGCCATCGAAAGAAAAGCCGCGTTCTTTCGAAATAATTTCGAAAGAACGCGGCTTGAGTCTGGACGCAGGGGAAGTTTTTTCGGGAAAAGGCTACTTTTCCCGAAAAAAACCCTGAGTCTGGACACGGCCACAGGGTCCTTCTGAAGGACACAGGAAAGGGGAGACCATGGGCCTCTGAGCAATGGGAGGAGACATATACATGCGTCTCTGGGGCCAGGGCAGGGGTCACAAAGGTCACAGTCATGCCATGCAGCATTATAGAAGTCAGGAGATGACTTGTCGGCTGCCTAGGGAAGTCGTGGAGCTTAGCCAATAGGGTCGCTGCCTCGAGATGGTTTCACTGGCCCATGTGTACATGGGATGGGACTAGCCTGTTAATTCAGTCCCTTCTGGATGCCTGACCACTAGCTGACAAGGCAGTGAGTTGCCCCTGGCATCTTAGCTTGGAGAAAAGTGTTTGCATGTCCCAAATGCCTGGTAAGGTGCTCAATGTCGCCTTGGATCGAACCCCTAGTTCAGGGCTACTCAACTTTGGAAGCCCCGGGAGCCACAATGATACTCACAGCACATGCCAAGGGCTGCAACTTAAGTGTGGTTGCATAGACAGGCAAATATATGCAAATAGCTTCTTTTACACTGACAGGCATGAATACAAAGATTAAGGGAAGACTATACAACACACAGGCCCCATTTAAGTCAGTTCTGCTGATATTACTAAAATGAAATATTACCCGATTTCCACCCATATAACAGCACTTTTAATGAGCAATGACAGTCCAGGAATTTAACTACTAAAACTCAGATCAACAGAAGACCGTTATATTGACTACTTTTTTGTTTTGGCTCCCACCCGCAGGCTGCAAGCAAATGGGCCGCAGGCCACATGTGACCCAACGGGCCGCATGTTGAGTAACCCTGCCCTAGTTTATGGAGTGACTGGAAATCATATTCATTCATCATATCATGCAGCTAATCATGCCGTTTGTTATTACTGCGCTAGCCCCTGTCAAGCCTACAGCAGGGCCGTCTTTACCTGTATGCAGAATATGTAGTTGTGTAGGGCACCCAAAAATATGGGCACCACTGGGTCTTAATGTGCACCCAGCCACCTCTTCCTATCCCTGGTCTGTGACTCAGCTTCCTCCAGAGAGGATTGAACCTATGAAAGAGCCATTCAGGCGGTAATGAAGCCATTTAACAGGCATTTGCCAACCCCAGGGATAAATTGTCAGTGTCTCAATGTACTATTAGTCAGCAAGACCTTGGTTTAAAATTTGTTTTAAAAATATTCCATTAGTGTGTTGCTGAAGATTATGAAATCACATCTCTAAAAAATCACTCCCTCCACCTGCCATCAGGTATAGGGGCACTAGTTTAATAGTACTGCGTAGGGGCCCCATAAAGCCTAAGGATGGCCCTACCTGGGGCTCGCTGGACTAAGCACCATAGAGACACAATTAAGTCATCGTAAGTAATATTTTGTAAGGAGGCATTTTCAACTGTCAATATTGCCAAACTTGCAAATGTTCCTGACTCATCGTATTTCTCAAATAATTTTTAACTCATTTCAATACAGAAAAAGAACGTGCACCAGAAGCATTTGTGACAAGTATTTTCAGAATGGTTTCTACATTTGTAGAGGTTGCCTGCAGACCATCCTGTACAAGTCTATACAAATCAACTGGTGATCTCCAAGCACAGATCTCATCATTTTTGATACAATGAAAGAAATTTTTCATTTCTTCTTCAAAAAGATGTTTGTCTATGTCCTCTTGGTAGAATTCACTTAATTTCTTACTGTAGTGGCTTTTAGCAGCTTCAGCTAGACTTTGTCAAAAAAATATGCAAAATAAATCAACATTTTTCTTTAGAGATTCATCTCTACTCTGCAATTGCACTTCTATTGTCACAAATAACACTGACGATCTCAATGATGATCTTCTCTTTGCCTTTTAAATTTATTTAATTGTTTCTAGTTTTAGAGAAAATAACTTCCTAGGTTTTTTTATGCTTCTCATCAGATATATCAAAGGAACCTATATTTTCTGTTAATGTTAATGCCTCTGCTTCCACGGGCCTATAGTCATTTCAAACTTCCATGACAAAACTTGTAACTGAGGCTAACAATTGTGCAGCATTCAGTAAATTTGCATCAACTTTTTGCTGTGATTTGCTGATTGCATTAATTCTTTGAAGTAAACATGTCCACAAAATAGTAAAAATATCATTCTTTTCAAACTTTTCTGCTAAGGATTTTGCTTCAATTTTCGCACATGGTTTTTCAGAACTTGATGTGGCTATGTCTAATAAAGTTCTCTTTATAACATCACAGTTTATTTTTAAAGCCAAAAACAGCATCTGCATGAGCAGACCACCTGGGGTCACAAATTCTTTTGACTGTCAAATGTTTTCCATTTGCCTGCTCCAAGCATGATTGTAACATGTTCCACTGATCTGTGGAAATGGAAAAAAAAAAAAAAGCGCATAGGTGTTTTGAACAAAGTAAAAAAAAAAGTGTAGCTCCCTCATAAGATGCAGCTGCAGCATTGTAGATTACATTTAAGGAATGCTTGAAACATGGTTTTGCGAACAGGGGCTGTAACGGGGAGTTTGGAGAGGGAGTTGGGAAGGGGGTGAGATACACTCGCCATTCATTAAAATCTTTTCTCTACACTTTGGCCTTCAAGGAGGCATTTAATAACATCTGAGGAATCTCTCAGAAGGAAGCCAGGTATGGATGGTGATAGGTCTGCTGTTGTTACCTGCACAGCATGTGCCATGTTTGTCTTCCTCCCAGAAGAAAGAAGGGATTTCGTCTGCACTAAGTGCAAGCTGGTCACCATTTTGGAAGAAAAAATTAGAGGACTTGTGGCCCAAGTTGACCCTACGTTCTATCAGAGAGGACGAAGACTTCCTCGATCAAAGGCAGCGTTTAATCCTGCAGGCACAGCAGGATGAAGATCTAGTCAGGGCAGTACAGGATAAGGAAGAGAACTGGCAGCATGTAACCTCTAGAAGGAGAAGAAAGTCAACTCATGTATTCCCCATTCCTGTAGAGGTAAGTAACTGCTATCAGGCTCTCTCCACAGGCACTGCAGTGGAAAATGCTTTGGCAGGGATCTCTCAGGGAAGAAATCAGAAGGGAAAGCCATCTACCAGAAGGCATGGGATGTGTAATCCTAGGGATGGGGGTTCCATGACCACCATTCCCAAAAGAAGAAGACAGGTGGTGCTGGTCGGGGACTCCCTCCTAAGAGGGACAGAGTCATCCATCTGCCGTCCAGACCTGCAATCTCGAGAAGTGTGCTGCTTACGGGGAGCTCGCATTCAGGATGTGACCGAGAGCCTTCCGAAAGTGATTAAACCTTCAGATCGCTACCCCTTCCTGCTTCTCCATGTAGGCACTAATGATACAGCCAAGAATGACAAAGCCCTCAGCTTGACAAAGCCCTGGATGGGTTGATTTAGTTGGGATTGGTCCTGCCTTGGGCAGGGGGCTGGACTTGATGACTTGCTGAGGTCTTTTCCAGCTCTATTATTCTAGGATTCTATGGGTATGTCTACACTAGCCCCCTAGTTCGAACTAGGGAGGCTAATGTAGGCATTCGAACTTGCAAATGAAGCCCTGGATTTAAATATCCTGGGCTTTATTTGCATGTTCCCATCTGGTGGCCATTTTTAAATGCTACTAGTCCGGACTAACTGCCCGCGGCTACATGTGGCAGTTAAATGGTAATTCGAACTAAGTCCTTAGTTCAAATTACCTGTTATTCCTCCTGGAATGAGGTAGTTAGTCCGGACTAGTGGCATTTAAAAATGGCGACCGGATGGGAACATGTAAATAAAGCCCGGGATATTTAAATCCCGGGCTTCGTTTGCAAGTTCAAATGCCTACATTAGCCTCCCTAGTTCGAACTAGGGAGCTAGTGTAGACATACCCTAGGGTATAAATAAAACAGAGGTATTTGCATTGTTCAGTCTTGCCTGTAGACTTGAATATTTTTCTGCCATATTTGCGGCATTTTCAATGCTCTGCCCATGACAATTTTTGATGTCCAAACCTAAATTTGCAATGATTTCCAAAACCATTGTCTTTAAACATTCAGAAGTGTGGGATTTTAGTGGGACAAAACAAAGAAATTGCTCTATAACTTCACTGTTGCCAGTCACATATATTAAAATTAATGGTAATTGGTCTATGTGACTCACATCTGGTGTTGAATCGACTATTATGGAATAATACTTGGCAGCCTTTACTTATCAGTGAATTGGTTTCTGAACTGCTCTGCCATTATAGTAATGAATTCATTATAGGTTTGGTGTGTTAAAAAGTTGGTCTTCCCTGAGCCACAATACTGATACTTTTCAGATGTTCAGTGAGAAAATTGTCAAATTCACTAAAATATTCAAGGGAGGTTAAAAAACTACTTTTCCAATTTGCCACTGGTGACGCATCATGTCCTCTTAGAGGTAGTCCCAAAGAAGACAGAAGTTTCACCGTGGCAACCACATGTCTCTCCAATTAAATAGATTTTGGCCATAATCAATGTGTTCAGGGTAGGTTTCTTCCCTTACTTCGACACAATTACCAACATTTTGTAGTTCCATTGTCACTTCAGAGTCAACTTGTTCAACTTTTGCAGTCGTTGTGGTATCTCCACAACGCAGCAAATGATCAGATAATGGAGATGTTCCCTTACCCATAGTATCTGATGAATGTCCTCTATTCAATACTTCAAGATTTTTAAAATAAGATAGCAAACTGTCTTTTTGCTTAGCTTCACCTTTTTGCTTCGTCTCCATGTTGTGAGTATGTTTTTGACTGCCAGACTCATAGTATCGCTGTATTAAAAAACTGACCTGGATTTTTAGGCAGATTAAAAATGTCTGAAAGAGCGGGGATGTAGATACAGGTGGGCTTGAGTGGGCCATGGGCCAGACCACCCATTCCATAATTAGGTTTAACACTAGTGGCACCATAACAGTGTGGCGCTGAAAGCTATCCCCTGTCTTTCCTAGGAGTAGATCCAGACCTGGGTGAGTGCCACAGGCACAGGAACCAAGAGTTGAAGTAGGGCTGCTGACAGAATAGCTAAGCCCCTGGGCAAGGTGAGGGCGGAAGGTCTGGGCCCCCAGGAAGGTAGGGCCTCGAGAAGAAGGGGCCAAGCTGGGGGCCCAGTGGAGGAGCAGAACCGCAATGGTGAGGCTGGAGAAGATTGACAGACGAGGTAGGAAGGTCTCCATGGCCGTGGAGGATCGGTTCAGATGCCCCAGTGACCCAGCACTGGCTGGCTGGCTTGGAGAATTGAACAGACACACACATGTGCTCCATCTGAAGGTGAGTGGGGGGCACAGTTCCATTGGCCACCTGAGCGCTCCCCCTCCTTCCCCCCTGCCAGAGGCTCTCCATCCCCCGGCTGCTCTCCCCTTCATCCGCGGGCAGCAGCCACTCACCAGGTGACAGCCAACAGCAGTGCAACACTACAAGGGCTGGAGGACTCAGGAGAAGGTGTCAGCACAGCTGCGTATCCAGCTGCCGAGAGAAGCGGTGCTTTCCCCCTTCAAGACTGGTGATGGACTGCCTGACCTTGGGGGGCCCCATGCCATTGGGGGAGGGGGGGCTGTGCCAGGGCACAGTATGTTTCTTTGTAAATCCGCCCCCCGGGGGAGGGTGTCTCAGAGCCTGAGCTCCACCCCTAGCAGGAAAGTGCAAACACTGGGATTTTTAGCCCTGTAGTGTGAGCTTGAATCAGTTGATCTAGATGGGTCTTTTGTTCTTTCCAGTGTAGCGTCTGTAGAGGCACCCAGCGTGGACACTGCTCCTTGTCGAGAGGAGCCAGAGAACAAGAGAGAGGCTTTTCAGAAGGTGCTTGGTTGAGCAATGTGCTGCAGGGACCTGCTATCCCTTTAAAAAAGAGGAACTGGAGGGGCTGGGTCACAGCTAGCACCCGTGGAACTAAGCATGCGCTGGACGGGTGGGTAGGCTTCAGGATCTGGCCTGAATTCAGGCAGGAACATATGGAAGGGAGGTCCCCTCGCTGCTTTGTTCTCTCCCCATTTTACAAATGGGGAAATTGAGGCACAATGCTGGCCTGTCTCAGCCACTAGAAACCATTTTGAGCTCTCCTGAGGAAAGGTGCTGGAAAAAACCAAGCACAAATCCACAGAGAGTTGGGCAGGGTTAACAAGTCACCAGGGCTCAGCTATTCATATTTCCTATGGCTCAGCCATATTTCCTGGGCCAGGGTGGGGGCGGGCATCGGTGGCTGTGCTCAGTAAAAGCTGGGTGAGGGCAAAGAGGAAGAATATTGGCCTCAGAGCTGCACTGAGGCTATGAAACCCACCTCCTGGTAACCTCTGGAGCAGAAAATTTGCCATTCCTCCCCTCCACTGACCTGGAAATTGTTACCATGGCCCTGTGGCTTGTAGGTCATGGGGACCATTGGCTGGGTGGCCACATGGCATTGTGTGACAGCAAATTAGCCACCTGTTCCCCTCCCCTAATCCTGCTAGGGGGGCTGGCGCTGCATCACTAGCCTTCCGCGGTGTTAGCACCACACGCACTAAAAGGCCAGCTCACCTGGGGGTGGCATTGTCTGGCGGCCAGGAGGAATAGGGTTTTGGGATGGGGAGAGGGAGCCTGGGTGTGTCTGAGGGGGACACCCACAAGAGAGGGGCTCAGCCAAACAAGTCAGCCTAGGGTGCAAGGACAGCTGGGATGAGGCTACAGAGAATACCAGCTCCTCAGCCCAGTTGACTCCTTTACACCACTTCAGAGGAGCAAAGGGACTGAACACTGCCTCAAGAGAACACCCGCTGAATTCTCTA